CTATAAACTTATAAACAATTATTAACAATTTGGCACAATGATCAAGTTCAACAACATAGGCATTCAGTCCTTAGAACATAATTTCTTCTTTCTTCTGATGTCAGAGGTCACCAGTACATGACATACCATGGGAGTCCAGCCTTTACCACTGACTCATACTGATCCTTTTCTATATTTCAACATAATGTTTGAAAACTCCCATAGAGGCAGTTTAACGTTGGCTTGTGTTCATCACGGCACATATTGTGCCACAAACACACCGAGTGGCACCAGGTCAAAACCTCTCCAACAGCTCTAAGAAACTTTGTCTGGAACCACGGATCGTGTTCCCGCTGCATCGTTCCCAAACACGACTCCAGATCAAATGTTCAGTTTTTCCACAAACTGTTAAATTTGTCTCACTTTTAAAAATCCAGGCCTTTACCTTTCTCCACCACACGGTGTCACTACAGTGCAGTTTTTCCCACTTTAAACTAAACTGTCTAAACTTTTGCAGGCAGTCGTTCATCGACTCATGTTTAGTTTCATTTGTGCATTTCTGATTTTTTCAGTAACTTTGCCGTTTCTGCTCCGTTCATTGTGCACGTTTGATTTCTGCTTTTGCGACTCTGCTCTCGTCTGGCCGTCATGACCTTCGCATTACTGCTGCGACCTTTTGACCTCCTCTCACTGACCTGACTGGCGCGTGCGTTGACGTCACCCTTGCCGAAGAGCTCCTCCACAATACGCATGTCCCTGGGCGTCTCCACGGCTGCGAGCGCGGCGAGCATGATGGGGGTGTATCCCGCCTTGTTCTGCTGGTTCACATTACACACGTCTGAAACACACCAACACAGACAGGTCAAAACTTCCAGAAGGCTGGACGAAGACATTTTTGTCACTGGTGGTCTCGGGTTGGGGGGGTGGGGTGTGACACTGACTCGTCAGTCAATGACGTCACAGACGTGTCAGCATGTGACGCGTCAGCCTGTGACGCGTCTGTGACGTCGCTTCTCCTCGTGAAAAAACAAACAAAAACACTCGAGTCCCGTGTCGTATCGTCTGCTCCTCCTCACGCTCTCTACGAGCTGAACACGCCAACATGGAGGGGGGAGAAACCCGTCAGAGGCCGGATGGGAGCGAAGCGAGCGGAGGCCTCAGCTAGAACTGGGACGGACAAAGGCTACAATGGGAGGAGGGGGCGGAGACGGCGTCACGGACACAAGGACACAAAAGGCCGAGGAGACAAAAGGCCTTCAGAGCAGCGAGTGGCCGCGACCTCATCACAGTCTATTGAGCCTCCGGAGCTCGCTGTGAGGGAACGGCAGCGAGGACGAGAAAACTTTGCCTGCCCAAATGTGAGCGTCTGTGTTGTCTACGTGACATTTAACTCATACGTGCAGATTTCCTGCACGAGTTTTAAAATATATTTTCTCAGGTTATGAATTAAATCTGTTTCATGAAGTTTTGATCCAGTGTTTTTCCCGGATATGAAAAGGAAGACATGGGAATGCAAACAGACCGTTTCTAGTCTGGAAGTCATATTACTGCCACCACATTTAACCGCTCTTTATTACAACTCTGAGTCCAAACAAGCCTCGAGCCTGAGAGAGGAAGGCGGAGGAGCTGGAGGAGACAGCACCAACCAGAGCCGTTTGTATCCTTGTATCCTCACTTTCAGTGTTTTCCTTCATCGTCTTCCAGCGTGAAGCCGTGTCCACATCTGTGGCTCTGCATCACGAGTTCACTCAGCTGCCTTTGTGTCAAACTATCAGATAATTATGTTGCTGTTAACAGCAGGAGCTGCAGAGACAGAGAGGGAGAATCCTCCTCGACTGTCAGGATGGAGGAAAACGGAGGCGAAGCACGAGGAGAAACCAGGAAGACGAAAAGGTGAAATCTGACCATCGTGACATC